TAAATTATTTTTTCGACAAGAAAACAACTTTTAAAAAATGTGTATTTTCTCGAAACTCGCTTCAACTGATATACCGTTTTTTGGCTTAGGAGGGCATCATCATCAAGATGAATGAATTAACATTTTTAAATTGATTTGAAAAAAATAAAACTTTTTTAACGTTCGATTTTCTCTCCATTCTTCCAAATACGTCAATAAATATTCTAAAAATAATATCAATTATATTAGTTATTTGGTTATAAAAGCCACACCTGGTGCATTTATTTGCAAAAATGTAAACCATAACAAAAACATAAATAACAAATTTACAAAAGTATATTATAGCCTATCAACGAGACAGTCATTATGTAGAAAGTATGTCACGAATCATCATAATTTGATTATTTGAAAGTCGCAATTCGTATTCGTTTATAAAAAATAAATAAATTAGTTAACTAAATTATGTTGACGTTCAATTATTGTTGTTAGTAGTAAAATATAATAATTAGTTATTTTTGCATGCAAGAAAAATGTTACAGATCAGAGGCGAAAGTGCTTTTACCTCACAAGGCCTTATTGTCAAAAAAGTTAAATTTTAACGTAGAAAACGTTAGGTTTTTTGATGTTTAAAATAAAACAAATTATTTGAAAAAAACTGCTTTAACTTTTTAATAACTTTAGAACTGGAATTGTTATTTTCAGTAATTTTTATAACAATGGGCGTGTCCAAAATTGCATAATAACGCATTAACAGTTACCGGCATACCTACTAGTTATGGGTCATAAAATTTGATTAATGTGGAATTTTTGTTGAAATAGAATCATCAACAGAGTTTTCCGTTATTACAAATTAGACACTAGGCGGCCTGCTTCAGTATATAGTACAGCTTACTTTGTTTATTTATTGGCGATATAAATTACTTTCCCCGCGCTTTTCAACTAGATTGTTTATTTTTCGACGTTTTATTTATTTATAGACAAGTATCTACTTAGTTATTGTTTTTGTGGTTAGCTTAGCGTTTGTTTTTATGTTTTATTATTTTGTCTACCGCAAACCACAAAATATCTACCTATTGTACTGTAGCTTCTTGTATATCTTTTATTATTATAATTTTATACAATAATCTATACATGTATCACTAATGGAATCAAAAAGATAACAAGCTGAACTGACACTTTTCCATTATTTCTATTCTTACTTTTTTAAATTATTACTAAATACTGTTTCGATTGATTATTATAATTATTCTTGTAAACTGTTGCATCTATACATCTAGTTAGGCAACAACTTTATTTTTAAAATAAAATGACCTTTTAATATTTCTTAAATTTGACAAAACTTCTGCTAAAATCAAATCATGCAAAATAAGCTGGTATTTTTGACCGACATTAATTCCTATGTAATAAATATCAATCTCCAGCTGTTTTTCAAATAATTCAGTCTCAATCTAGTTATGTATCTGACTGGAGCGTAGATAAGCCTCGAATAAAATATCAGTAGCACGAGATGACAGATACAATTCAAAACCACTGCTAGATATATATAAATATTAAATTGAATTTGACGTTGATTAATTGGACCATAAAAATCTCGAAGTATACGTCAATTGAAAATTTATATTTGTTCCATTTTATTAAGAATTCATCAGATTGTAAAATGAATGCGATTTAAAAACAAAATACTATTGTACTACCTACCTGTAATTTTCAAATAATTAATGAACCTATTTAAAAAAGTCATACCTAAATTATAAAAAATTAGGTAAGAGTGGTCACCTATAATATTATACAACAATTGTGTATTTAATATTATTAATAACTATTACCGATTCTTTACTTATTATACACCAGCGATATCCCTCAACAACATTGTGTTAAAATAGCAACATTTGCGGATGACACTGCAATATTGGCAGTAGGCGGAACTAATATAGAGACCTCAGAAAAAATTCAGGAAACATGCAACAGAATCGATCGATGGACAAAAAAGTGGAAAATCAAAATAAATCAATGCATATTGATTTTACTCTTCGACCAAAAGAACAGAAACAAATAAAATAAACAATAACGTTATTCCTCATCACGATTCGGTCAAATACCTAGGGATGAACTTAGATGTAAGACCTAAATAGAAAGAGCACATAAAAAAGGCGTAAAGAACTTGAACTTAAAATCAAAAAAATGTATTGGCTTCTAGGAAGAAAATTCAAATTGTCAATGTACAACAACCTGCTGATTTATAAACAAATCCTAAAACCAATCTGGATTTATGGCATACAGCTAAGGGGATGTGCCAGCAAGAGTAATGTCAACATGATACAAGTTTTCCAAAATAAAGTCCTAAGATGCATTGTTGATGCATCTTGGTTCTATCGAAACGATTATGTTCTTAGAAACCTGAAGATGCCTACAATCGAAGAAGAAATAAAGAGGTTTGCTGCCAAACATGAGGGTCGACTCCACTCCCACGCCAATGAAGAATCGTAGCAATTACTGGACAACTCTACACTCAACCGAAGACTCAAAAGGAAGAAACCATTTGAGCTAGTGCAGTGAAATTTAATGTTAGTGCTAGTGTAAAACAGTTTAATAATCGTCACGCCAACTTGTGGTGCTTTCCTATAGAAACAATTAAGACAGCCGAATGGGGAATTCTTGGATAAGTACTTAATTAGTTTATAAGATTTTTAGATTAAAATTGTAGGTTAGTCAATAATGACTAGTAACAATACTCTAAAAACAATAAAAAAAACAATTATTATACATAGTAAAAACGGGTAACGAGTAAAAATGATATTAGTAACTAATCATTGTGCATTTACATTGCTTTTCATTATTTAATTGGTAAAATTATGTTTTTGTATTATACAGGGTGTTAAAAAAAAAGTGTCACAAAATAAAACGGGGGTTAGTATGGGCCAAAATATGCAGAAAAATCTTAATAAACATATGTCCGCAAATGAATGGTTTCAGAGATACGGAGTGTTTTGTGTTTTGTATCATTTTTTGATTATCTTTTTTCATTCTCAAAAACTTGCCTTTCTTATCGGAGTCTACCGATGTTTTTTCATAGATACTATTTGCAGTAATTATTTTGTTGTGGGTGAATAATTTTATAAATTTTCGTTATGCCTGTTTACACTAATATTGAATTAGCTGACATGCATTTTATGTACGGTCGTGCAAATGGCAATGCGAGGGAAGCGCTACGTCAGTATTTGAACATCTCATTTAACTCTATGTTGTTATTGATTGTTTATAAATATCATTGTTTTTTTATAATAATAAAAAATTGTTATAAACACAAAATGGTCCGTATCTCCGAAACCGTTAATTTGCGGTCATATATTTATTAAGACTGTTCTGCTTATTTTGGGTCATACTATTCACCATTTCATTTTGTGGCACTTTTTTTTAACACCCTGTATATTATATTTATAAGGTTTGTTCCAACGAATAACTTGCGGTTAATTTTAAAAGCTTAATTAGCGTGCGTTTTTTGGGACCTTATTTTGAGCATGCCGATTTTCCTCCTTATCTCTAGTCTTCATAGTGCAGACTTTGACAAATATTTAGGCACATTTCAGAAAATACAAGGCATACATTTGATTAACGTTTTGCTTTTGTACGAATTTTTATTAAATTTCCATGAAGTTGTACATAATTATCATCCTTTATAGTTTTACTTTTAGGAAAGTTTATACAACAAACTATTGCTGTTTTTAAAGAAATAAAGTTAGCCTATGCATTGCATTTAATCATTTTTGTCTTAAACTATTTCTTCGTAAATTGAAAAAGGGATATTAGGATTCTATCCTGTTCTTGCTTTGAAACACTGTTATAACTGAATTTGCAACAAATAATACAACAGGTAGTAGGCATAATTATTAAACGTATTATCTGCCTTGTAACGGGTCAATAACGGTCCAACAGACACTTTTAACACTTATTTTAATTAAATCAATAAATTTCGAATGAAAAACACCACGGCAAGATATCCAATGAGAGAGCTAGAACGAACACCACTTTATTTCGGTAAGATTAGAGTTTATCACAACAGAAACTTAACAAACTTTCGGCTCTATGTTAATACACACTGTTAACAACTAATTATAGAAAACACTTTTAATTTCAATTAATCTGAACGTTTTTTAAACAAAAACATCTGGTGAAACAACACGTTAAATTGACTCGATCGCCGCGTTGCCAGATTTATTTTTGCTAGGCTAGAAAACGAGTCGACATTGATGTAAATACACAGATGATGAATATTCAAATGCAGAATTGTCTATCGTTAAAATTAGTAAATAAGTAGAGAGTAAAATTGGATTTTTGCTGGATTGAATACAATATTTATAATATGAATAAAATATCAATAAAGTTAAAAAGTGTTGTTCTATGCAACTGTCACAACTTTTAGTCTTAATTGTCCGAGGACGCATAACTATTAAAACACGAATATATTTTTCTTTAATAAATTTTATATTTTTGTACCTACTGAGAATGACCTTCATTGTAAAATGTCAACGTTCAAATGTTAACTTTTATGATCCGTTTTTGAGATAACCCTCAGACAGGTAAGGTTTTGTATTGGTGTAACAAATTTAAACAGGTTTTCAATCTGGTGAGAACCAGGTGAATACAATAGATTGTATGATAACAATAAATGTGAACACTGAGTGGCATTTTTAAAGAAATCCTCAAATTTATTTTCATTTATTCTTTCGTAGTTTAAATTCTATGTATTTTTTCCATAAACTTTTCAGCTTAAAATAACATTTTTGTGTTTCTAACATATTTGTTCCCATCACAAGTTAAGGTGCTGTAAACCCAGTATCATTTTATACAAAACATATTTAAATTTTTTTAATTTTAAAACTAAAGTAAAATTTCTGGTTTCATAAAAAAATCGACTGTATTCTTTACATTCTTTATTATAAACGTTACTTTATATATTTAGTTTGTAGTTAAATAAAAAACCTTTAAATAAACATTTATTTTTACAGACTCATTAATAAATATCAAGCGATTTGGTATTCAAAACCAGTCGTACTGGATATCTTCAGATATGGCACCATGAATTCCAACCTATCTTGCAACATTCCAACCCACTCTTGTTCCAAAGATTGTGTTAATGGATTTCGAAAAATATGGTTAACTTCGTGAATACAACGAGAATACCAGCGATTATGGGTAACGTTGTCAATTATTGCCTTGAAACGTTTATGCAAAAAGTTTTATTAACTAAACTTACTACAGGTTATTGACTTTTGAATTAGACATTTGAAATAATAAAATGCTAAATAGGTGTAAAATAATGGACGTTCATTATAAAATAGACGAAAAACTGAGTTAAACAGCAAATATTACAAAAAAGGCTTATTTCTTTGGCAAAAGTCGAACACATCTTAAGTGATAAAACGCTAAATGGGTGTAAAATAATAGAGATTCATTATAAAATAGACGAAAAACCGAGTTAAACAACAAATAGAACTTTTTATGATATTTTGATAACTGTTTTCTTTGTCAAAAAAGAATGTCTAAAATGTTATCCAAAGTCAATAAACAAAAACATAATACTTAACAATATTTAACAAAGTCTGCTACATAACAACGATTTAAAATGGGACATGAATTTATATTGTTATGATGATTTTTTGTAATTTTAGCAGAGGTAACTTGAACTTTCACATATATCGAAAATATTGAAAGCATTCATTTCACTGAAAATTTTATATTTTGAGATTCCTATAATTATAAATTAAATGTTTGTATTTAACTAGTTTGCAATAGATTGAATATTGCAAAATACTTTTCTGATACATGTGCATTTGGCTCGAAGGACCGTCATCAATAAGAACGCTGTGACCTACTTAATCACACAAATCAATTTGTAATATTATCTACAGTTACTTAAGTATAATTATGATTTGAGACATCACAAAAAATAGAAAATCGAAAGTCGCTTAGCATTTACAACTTTATTACCTATACCAAGAAAACATCAAAAGGAAATACTCTATTAGCCTTAATGGTCCTTTTATCTATTTAGTATACCATTTCAATGGATTTTATTATTACAGTTACATTTTACAATGGTGCTTATTGCACGTTATTATCGTTTAATATTATTACCAATTAACGGTAGTACTACACATGGTTGAAATAGAGTTAATGATTTAATTAATCAGATGTTATATCTCGATAAGTGAAAAAATAAACAATATTACTTATAGGTTTTAGCTTCTTCATTTTATAGTATGAAGTAAAAGTCACCTTGGGTACGTTACTATAGTTTACTTGAAAATGCATAATAGCACAGTTTTTATGGCAAATGTCTATATATACGGGATTGTTCAAAGCAGAAAAAGTAAATATTAATATATTCTTATATAAATTTTCACTAGATTTTAGTAGTAGTTTCCAAAATTTCTCTTCCTCTGCTGTCATGTCTTATAGCGTTAAGCTAACTGTCCGGTTAAATTTTTGTTATGGAGTCACATAATAGTTGACGAACATCTTAAAGTATATTGCATTGTTTCTCACGACATACCCCTTCATTTGAGCCCAGATTATTTCAATGAGGTTAAATTCACAGCGATAAGGTGGTAACCGCAACACTTTAATTCCATGTTCTTTTGCTATTTCATCTACACTATACTTCTTAAATTTTGGTGAATGTTGTACTCATAACTGCAATAGCTCTTATTTGAGCCACTATTTCTTTAGTTATTAGCCAATCGGAGAGTTCTTACTTTTCCATTTAGTGATAAGTAAATCTATCATTTGACTGAAATATTCCTCAAAAACAGCAGCAGTGATTTCTTCATGGTAGTTTTTCATAGAATTTGAAACAAATTCTTACAAGCTTTTATCAACAAGTCTCCAATATGAGTGATAATTAAACGGAGACCTTCACCATTTGGAAATTTTAAGCCAGTAGGCAAACCTTTTTTAAATGCCTGACGAGCATTTGTAACCTGTTTATCTTGCCAAACTTTTTTTACAATATGTCCTTCATTTATCCATGTTTCATCCAAATTAAAATATTTTTGTCTTATATTCTTAGTTTTCTAATTTCCCTTAAATATTGCCTCCTCCAACAAATCATTTTATCTTTCTCTATGAGCGCAGATTTTCTATCGTTCTTCTCTCAAACAAAATCTAATTCATGTAAAGTTTTCCACAATTTGTCTCATTTAACGTTTGGCAAAGTTTCGTCTCCATTAATGTCCACTAAAAGTTTATCCAAAGTAGGTATCTTTTTTTGTAAATAAAAAGAATGCACTTTTCTTTGAATTAGTTATTTTATAGTACTGTTTGTTTGAATGGGTTTTCTCCCAGTTGAAATTTTAGGTGCTACTGTAATACTTCATGTCGTTGCTTCAAAAGTCTATAAATAGATGCTTCTCCAACTCCGGTCATATTTGAATACTCCAAACAGTACTATTAAAATATTCATGTACAAGAGCGTCATGTACATTTAATACTGAAGTTACATATGCACGGTTAAATTGCACTTTAATTTCACAGGAGTATAATTAGACGTTTGTGCCATTTTTATTGCACAAATGTACTTAATCAATATCGCTTTTTACTGCCTATTATTACAAAACTAACAATTATGCGTGTTACAATGACAGGACTATACAAACAGAAATATAAATCTTAACTAAAATAATTTAAAATCTGCATAACACTTTTTGCTAATTAGAAATTTTAATCCTTTCTAAGAGAGTTGAGGGCTACTTAAATTGATCTTGAATTGTAAATATTTTCTACCTGTAGATATTACATACTTACCTTATATTTGTTGAATAAAATGACTAGAAAATTTAAGACAAGAATTAAAATAAATTGGTATTTTTTTAAAACTTTTAGGAAGAAAACCAAAGATTTTATTTTGGAACAAATAATGCTAAACATTTTATTTTAGAAATTCTCTGTCACTGATTTTTATGTTATATTGGGGTTTTTCTGCTGAGTCATAAAACATTTGCTATCATTTATTTTCAAATAAACTATAGTTAGAGCAAAGTTAAAGCATAAGTGGTATTTTTGTGTTCATTTACGTTGACCGATTTAGAGTTTCCTAGATAATCTTTAATCATTTTATGAATTAAATATTTTATTAGTATCGTGACTAAATGGTTACATATTTTTACAACTTAGATCTTGTTGAAAGTGCTAGTTTAGGTCGAAAAAACATATTTTTGTTGCTCTAACCTTATGGGGCATATAAACAGCCAGTTGATACATGGCTGAGGAGTGGTCAGTCGATCTTTCTTTTAAATGGGTGAGATAGATCATACGGTTTCCAGAGGAAACAGACCACGTGAGTTTTAGGGTGAAATGTGCTGAGGGTAAAAATATATTTATTAGAAACATAGCAATTGTACTAAAGAAAATTAAGATCATTATCATCAGTTCAAAATATTAAATTATATTTAGGTACTATATTATATAATATTTTAAAAGTCCTTGTCTAATCTTAAGAATTGTAATTTAACTTGTTTAAAAAAATGTTTCTGTATTATGTTAAGTTGTGTTTATCACTGTCTCTTATTGGTCCATCTTATCCCACCTTGAGCTCTATAGGCATAGGCGCTTTCTATAATATTGTTTATCTATTTATAATTTAAAGATGTCTGCTTCTTTGAAGTACATGACATTTTCAAACTTATGTTCCAGATATTGTTCAAATGTAGGTGTTCGCGTAAAAATTTCAGATGGCTTTATTTTTGGTAAAACTTAGGTTGAAATCTTGATTTTTTTGGAGTTTTAGACAGTACATGGGACACGTACTTCCGCACACTTCCCCCCAACCCTCTTCGCCTCAAGCTCCCTTACGTTAAAATGTTTAATGAGACCGTGTATATATTATAAAGGAAAATGAAAGAGCACACTTTTTATATACATTCATCCATAATATGTTCATGTTCCAAAAGTTCACGATTTCAACCTAAAAAACTTCGTATGAGATTTTTGACTTCATTGGGATAGGTAATTTAACAATGTCAATATCTAATAAAAAGGAATGGATAACAAAAAATTAAATCTAATATAGCAAAGATTACAAAATGAAAAACTTAATTAAGACATTGCCTATCTAACGGGCAGTTTTAGTATCTAATAAGAATTTCACATACATATTTTATAATTTCGCAAAGTTTCGCACCTACTCCACTTGTTCAATCCACTTTTTTTAATTGTTTGTAAATAGAAATTGGTATTACGTATGTATTACACTACTAATTCTCGAATTGAATAATATATCAAGATGGTCAATAAAATATGGCGAGCCAGCAATGTTTAGTCTCAGTATGGACTTTCTCGTAAAAAGAATACGCGAGTGTATAGAATAAGTAAGTATTCCAGTCTAGCAATAAATTACTAGAAGTGTGCTGAATGTTAACATGTTGTTTTGGTATTTCCTGCATTCAGTATTTTACAATAACTCTTAAACAGTTTTACTAATATTTTCAGAGTCTTTAGTTCTAAAATAAGTTGAAGAAAAACTAATTTAAGAATAATTATTGATGCAACAAAATAAATCATTTACATGACATACCGAGTGAGAATGAGATTTAGATCAAACCTAATAGACACGATTTTAAATTCAAAATTATTCTTAATCAAAATGGCCGATTGCCGGTTTTAGCGGAAATGCCATTACGTTTAAGTTTTTAAATGGATCACCTTATATATTTTGTTTTTCTAAAATCTACGGTTTAAATTATATATGACAATGTTGTCAAATTTATATTTTTACAAAACAATTTTTTATTAAAAAAAAATATGAAGAAGAGGGCTATGAATTGCAAAATTATGTTAAGTGGTGCATGGTACATACAAATGGCGAATTTGTCCTATTTAAAAAAGTGAGGTTTTGATAAAAAACTAGTTTTAGAAATTTATTTTTTTATGTATGAATATATTCATTTGAAGTTAGGATCTAGGTACATCTATTAATTTCTTTATGAATTAATTCATAAAAATATTAAGTATATTTTAAAATAATGCAATTGACATCATGGAATTGTGTTCATCTAAACTCTAAACGTAATCTGTGTAACAAGACATAAGAATTAAGCAGAGAGTAATTTGGTTTCTAATATTTACCTAACTCGTTATACCAACCTATGGATTGTTTGTTTTCTACTTCTGAAATTGAGGTAAACCAACTTCTGTTTGTATAGGAATTACAACACGC